GATGGATGGATGGATGGATGGATCCTGGATGGATGGATGGATCCTGGATGGATGGATGGATGGATGGATGGATGGATGGATGGATGGATCCTGGATGGATGGATGGATGGATCCCTGGATGGATGGATGGATCCATGGATGGACACAAGGATGGATCCATGGATGATGGATGGATCCCTGGATGGATGGATGGATCCCTGGATGGATGATGGATCCCGGATGGATGGATGGATGGATCCCTGGATCCTGGGGACGCTCCCTCCCCCGGCTGATGCAGTTCCCCTTTCCCTCGCAGCCCTTCGGGGAGTGGTGCCAGCTGCAGCCCAGAGATGCCGCCAAGATGCCCGAGAGCGCCTGGAAGCTGCTGTTCTACTCCGTGTCCTGGTCCTACGGCGCCTACCTGCTCTTCTGCACCGAGTACCCCTTCTTCCACGACCCGCCCGCCGCCTTCCGCGGTGAGCAACCCCGAAATCCCTCCTTGTGCTGCTCCGGCCGCAGGACGGGCACGGGGCTCCGGAGGGGCTGAGCAGGAAAAGCAGGAAACAATTAAATCCTGGGCAATTAATTAAATCATGGAATGGGCTGGGTTGGAAAGGATCTCGAAGATCAGCTCATGGCCAGGGGCAGGGGCAGCAAACCAGGGTTAAAAATCCCCTCATTCCAACCCCTACATCAAATTAGGGTGAAAAATTTCCTAATTATTTTATAATAATCCATAATAATATCGATTATTTTTATTTTTCTATAATGATGAAGGTTATTATTTAATAGCAATCTATAATAATATAGATTACTTTTGTTTTTCTATAATAATGTAGATTATAATTTAAAATAATAGATAATAATACAGATGATTTTTATTCTTCTATAATAATATAGATGATTTTTATTTTTCTATAATAATATCTATTATTATCTTAGAACAATGTATAATAATATAGATTATTATTTAATAATAATCTATAAAAATACAAATTATTTTCATTTTCTCTATGGCAACACAGCTTATTATTTAATAATAACCAATAATAATATAGATTATTATTTAATAATATATTGTAATGTAATGTAATGTAATGTAATGTTATAATATAATATAATATAATATAATATAATATAATAATAATAGAATAGAATAGAATAGAATAGAATAGAATAGAATAGAATAGAATAGAATAGAATAGAATAGAAATAAGAATAAAATAAGAAGTTATTTGAATTTCCCACACGATTTGCTGCCGAGCTGTGCGGGCGCAGGGAAGGTGACCTGGTGGCCGCTGTCCCGTGCCCGCAGGCTGGCAGCGGGGCATGGCGGTGCCCGCGGACATCGCCCTGGCCTACCTGCTGCAGGGCAGCTTCTACGGCCACGCGCTCTACGCCACCGCCTACATGGACACCTGGCGCAAGGACTCGCTGGTGATGCTGCTGCACCACGTCGTGGCGCTGACCCTCATCGCCTCCTCCTACGCCTTCAGGTGCGGGGATCTGGTGGGATCCTGCAGGGATCCTTCGGGAATGCCCCAGGAATCCCCCAGGAATCCCCCGGGCTCTGGAGCGGGCTGCGGGGCCGGGATGGGCTGGGAATGCCAGCCCGGGAGCAAGCATCGACCTCCTCCCGCTCTGCTCCCTCCTTTTCCCCACTTTTCCCCCTTTCTCCCCCCATTTTCTCCTACTTTCCCCCTTTTTTCCCTGCTTTCCCCTTTTGTTCCCTGTTTTTCCCTCATTTCCCTGTTTTGACCCTTATTTCCCCATTTCCCTATGGTTTCTCCCCATTCCCTGTGGTGTGTCCCCATTTTCCCCATGGTTTTTCCCCATTCCCCGTGTTTTTTCCCCCATATTTTCCCCATTTTCCCCATTTTTCCCCCAGGTACCACAACGTGGGCATCCTGGTGCTGTTCCTGCACGACGTCAATGACGTGCAGCTGGAGTTCACCAAGCTCAACGTCTACTTCAAGCACCGCGCCGGGGTCTACCACCGGCTCAACGACATCGTCTCCAACATCGGCTGCCTGGCCTTCAGCGTCAGCTGGTGGGTCGGGGTCCCTGATCCCAAATCCAACCCTCCCTGGTGTCCCCTGATCCCAAATCCAACCTTCCCTGGTGGGTTGGGGTCCCTGATCCCAAATCCAGCCATCCCTGGTGGGTCGGGGTCCCTGATCCCAAATCCAGCCATCCCTGGTGTCCCCTGATCCCAAATCTAACCTTCCCTGGTGGGTTGGGGTCCCTGATCCCAAATCCAGCCCTCCCTGGTGTCCCCTGATCCCAAATCCAGCCATCCCTGGTGGGTCTGTGTCCCCATCCCAGTCCCAACCTTCTTCCCCGCTGGATCTGTGTCCCCCTCCCACTCCTGATCCCAATCCTGACCCTCCTTGGAGGATTTTGTCCCTCAAATCGGATCGCAGTCCCCTCTCTCCTCCCGGTTTTTGGGGGATTTTTGGCTCCCCGCCGAGCCGGAATCCCTCTGTAGTGCCGGGTGAGAGTGGCTGCGAAATTCCTGCTGGGACAAATGGGCCCGGGCAGGGCAGGGGGGAGGAGGGGGAGGAGGAGGAGGGGGAGGAAGAGGAGGAGGAGGAGTTTTTCCCGGCAGGCGGGGCTGCCCCAGATTCCAGCTGCTCCTGGGGCCTGGGGGAGGAAAGGATGGATGATGGATCCATGGATGGATGGATGGATGATGGATGGATGGATGGATGGATGGATGGATGGATGGATGGATGGATGGATGGATCCATGGATGGATGATGGATGGATGGATCCATGGATGGATGGATGGATCCATGGATGGATGATGGATGGATGGATGATGGATCCATGGATCCATGGATGGATGATGGATGGATGGATCCATGGATGGATGGATGGATCCATGGATGGATGGATGGATCCATGGGAGGATGGATGGGCTGTTCTGCTCGGTCCCTTCCCCAGGAGCAGGGTTGGGGTCAGGGCAGCAGCCGGCTGTGCTGGCTCTGTCCCTGCCAGGGGACGCTGACCCCGCACTGTCCCTGTCCCCGGCAGGTTCTGGTTCCGTCTCTACTGGTTCCCCCTCAAGGTGCTCTACGCCACCTGCCACTCCAGCCTCCAGGCTGTCCCCAACATCCCCTTCTACTTCTTCTTCAACGCCCTGCTGCTCGTGCTCACGCTGATGAACATCTACTGGTTCCTGGTGGGCGCTCCCGGCCGGGCTGGGGACAGCAGGGACACGGGCCCTCCCCTTGGGGACAGCCCTGTCCTCGCTGCTGCTGGGACTGCGGGACGGAGGAGGTTCTGGGGGATCGGGAGGGGTCCCCTTGGGAATTCAGAGTGTCCGACACCCCGGGATTAACAGCGGCTGGGATTGGAGAGAGGTGTGAACGTCCTGGGAATACTCCTGCAGCCCAGGATGGGGATTCCAGAAGGTGTGAATGTCCTGGGAATGCTCCTGCAGCCCAGGATGGAGATTCCAGAGAGGTGTGAATGTCCTGGGAATGCTCCTGCATCCCGGGATGGGGATTCCAGAGAGGTGTGAATGTCCTGGGAATGTTCTGCGTGCCCCAGGCTGTGGGGAGGGGTGCGGGGCAGAGAAGGGCAGGGAGCTGCTGATTCCATCATCCCCGGGATGAATCCTGCCAGGAATTCTGCTCCGAGTCACAAACCCAATCCCGGGGCTGTGACCATCTGGGGGGAGCTGCCCTGCCCGAAATGGGGTGGGGGCGGCAGGGGAAGGTCCCCCCCGGGCTCGGGCCGTGCCTGAGGGTCTCTGTCCCCTGTCCCCAGTACATCGTGCTGTTCGTGGCCAAGGTGCTGCTGGGGCAGATGCAGGAGGTGAACGATGTCCGCGAGTACGACGTGGAGGAGAGCAGGAAAGCCGGGAAGGAGGCTGGGATCCCGCTGCCCCCGGCTCTGAAGGAAGGGTACGGGCACTTCCAGACTGGTTTGGGTGGGAAAACCCTAAAGCACATCCAGTTCCACACCTGGGACACTTCCCACCATCACAGGGTCTGGCCGGGGACACTTCCAGGGATCCAGGGGCAGCTCTGGGAATTCCCTCCCATTCCCTCCCAGCCAGGCATCCCTTCCCAATATCCCACCCAAATCTCCCTTTTCCCAGTTTAAATCCATTCCCTGTGTCCTGTCCCTCCATCCCTGTCCCCAGTCCCTCTGCAGCTCTCCTGGAGCCCCTTCAGGCCCTGGAAGGGTTCTGAGCTCTCCCTGGGGTTTTCCCTGTGGGAGCGCCCGGTGCTGGCCCCATCAGGCTGCACAAACCCGGGGGAGCGGGGAAATGGGGTTGGGGGTCTGCAGTGCTGACCACGGGCTCTGCTCCTCCCCAGGCTGCACCTCAAGAACGGCCTCGTCAAGGACAAGAGGTTGTGAGGGCGGCGTGGCCACGGCTGCCAGGACCTGGCCCTGCCAGGACCCTGCTCTGGGACCCTGCCAAGGACAGGCCCGAGGAGAACTCCCCCTGCCCCCTGCCAGCCCAGTGCCAGGACGGGCCCCTCGGGGCTGGGCTGTGCCCTGTCACCTGTCCCTGGGGCTGGGGCTCCCCGGGCCCAGTTTGGGGGCAGACTGGTGGCTGTGCTGGCCCAGGGAGGGGCTGGGGCTGCCTTTGTGTCCCTGGTGTCGCTCCACGTTCTCAGCCCCCTGGACCCCCACTCTGAGCCTCCCCCAGCTGCTCCTGCAGGCTCCAGCTCCAAACTGGGCAGGGGAGCTCCTGTCCTGCCCTGGGGAGGGGACCCCGAGCCCAGCGGTGCTCCAGCTGCCAGCCAGGGCACCAGACGTGGCTTTGGAGGGGTCACTGTCACCTGCCTGGAAATCCACCTCAGGAGCTCCAGCCCAGCCCTTGGAGGAGGCCCAGGAGGTTGGAAAAGCTTGGAAAGCCCCGTGTGGTTCTTGGAGTGGCTTCAAAAGGTCCTGCAGGTCCCTGCTGGGGGATTCCCCCAGGACTGTCCCCTCGCTGTCCCCTCACTGTCCCCTCCCAGGCCAGGACCCGCTGCTCCCTCCCGAGCAGCTGGAGGGAGATCCAGGGTGTCAATTCCAGGGGGAATTTGTGGGATTTATTCCATGTTTGGTCTGGAGGTGATTTCCCTCCAGACTTGTTGTGTCTGAGCCGGGGACAGACCCTGAGTGGGGCTGCTGGAATGTCCCCAAGCTGTGGCAGGACCTTGTCCCTCCCCCGTGACTTCCAGGGTGTCAGAGGAGCACCCCAGGGCTGGAATTCCTCGGTTTTCAGTGGGGTCTGATCCCCCAGAATGGGCCGGAGCAGAGCTGGGCTGACCTTGGGGGGCTAAAACTGAATTTTCCAGTGCTGGCATTGAGCTGGGTGGCTCCAGCTGTTTTTGGGGGCTGTGACATCGAGGCGGTGGTGGCAGCTCTGCTGTGATGGCCAGGAAGGGACTGGGGGACCTGGGGGTGCCTGGCTGGGGCAGGACCCGGCGCTGGGTGGGGATTGGTGCTTTTGGGGGTCAGTGGCTTTTTGGGGACGATGGTTTTTGGGGCCGTGCGAAGCAGGACTTTGATGGTTTGATGTGCTGGAGGTAGAGAAGGGCTGGACGCCGTGATTGAGCTAAAAAAGGGATTTTTTGGGGGGAGGAAGAGCCGGCTCGGGTCTGCTCCAGCTCCGGGCAGGGCTTTTGGGGGCAGCGCTGGATTCCCATCCCCACCCCTGACCCACGGACCGTGCGGGCGCTCCGGAGATGCAGGAGGATCGGCGGAGCCCTGAAAGGGTTAAGGGGTGCGGGAGCCGCAGGGATCCACCCCAGCCCAGCCCGGAGCCGGAATCCCGCGGCGCTGATTGAGCTCCGAGCCCATCAAAGGCTCCGATCGGGGTCCCAACCCCCGCGGCCGCCCGGCCCGGCCGCTCTTTGTCCGGGCGAGCGGAGCAGCGATGTGGCTCCTGCGCAGCCTGGCCTGGGCCCTCCTGAGCCCGCTGCTGGCCGGGCTGGGCCCGCAGGAAAGCGCCCTGCTCCGCTCGCTGGGGCTCAGCGCCAAGCCCAGCCCCAGGAGCCCCGGCCCGGTGCCGCCCGTGCTCTGGAGGATCTTCCACAAGGGGAGGACGCTGCCCCGGCCGGGCGGAGAGCCGGAGCCCTGCCGGGTGGAGGAGTTCAATGTCCCCGGCAACATCGTCCGCGTCTTCGCTGACCAAGGTACAGCCACGCCGCGTTCGGGGCGCCGGGACCGAGCTCGGCTCCGCTCCTTCCTCCCCGGTGTCCCGAGGCCGGAGCCGGATTCCAGGAGGAATCCCTGCTGGGTGGAATCCCTCCGGCTGCCGGAGGTGATGATTTATGGGTTTGGAACCCCGAGGCGGGCGGTGAGGGGGGCAGCTGTGCCAGGCTGCGTCCTGGAGCCCCCGAAATCCCTCCCGAGGTGCTGGTTTGGTCCCAGTCCTGGTCCCGGTCCTGGTCCCAGTCCTGACCCCGATCCTGATCCCGGTCCTGGTCCCGATCCTGATCCCAGTCCTGATCCTGGTCCTGGTCCTGGTCCTGATCCCAGTCCTGGTCCTGGTCCTGATCCCAGTCCTGGTCCAGTCCTCATCTCAGTCCTGGTCCTGGTCCTGATCCCAGTCCTGGTCCTGGTCCTGATCCCGATCCTGATCCCAGTCCTGATCCCGATCCTGATCCCAGTCCTAGTCCCAGGCTTTGGGGTCCGCGGTGGTGGAGGTGAGTGGAAATGTGGGTGCAGGAACGGGACCGGCATCAGCTCGGGCAGGGATGGGATGCTCGACTCCCGGGCTATGTCCGCCCCTCCTCATTGTCCCGACGCCTCTGGCTGACCCCAGGGCACATCTGGCTGACCCCAGGGCATATCTGGCTGACCCCAGGGCACATCTGGCTGCTCTGAGCCGTTCTCAGTCCCTTGGGGAATGTTTGATTGGCGTCCCTGAGGGCTCAGGGCACCTCAGAGCTCTTTTCTCTCGTGGCTCCAGTTTGGCTCGGGCTGGCTAAACCAGGCAGATCCCCGAATTCGCCACTGCTCGCCCTCTTTTCCCCGATCCTGCTGAGCCCCAGCCCAACCCTGGAGCTGATCCTGCTCACCCCGAGAGCTCTCCCAGCCCATGCCAGGAGCTGATCCTGCCCAGCCCGAGCGTTCAGCCGCCCCCACCCCTGTTTCTCCTTCTTTGTCAGGCCGCTTCCTCCCCGAAGGGCAGCCCCAGGGGCGGCTGTGTCTGCGGAAACTCCTGTTCTTCAACCTCTCCGCGCTCCAGGAGGGCGAGCGCTTGACCATGGCCCAGCTGGAGCTCCAGTTCCACCACAACTCCTACCACTGGCCCAGCCCGGGGCAGGTTTTGGAGCTCCGGCTGTACCGGGCGTCCCCCCGGGGGCTGCCCCGGCCCGGCCGGAGCCCGCTGGTGGAGCGGTCATTTGTCCAGCTGCGCAAATCCCTCCTGCTCGACCTGAGCGCGGCGCTGAAGGACGGGACAGCGCCGGGCAGGAATTTGGCCTTGGTGCTGGAGATCTCGGCCAGCGGGGACGGCGGGACCGTGCGGGGCCCCTGCGCCGGCAGCGACGCCTTCGCGGCCACCTCGCTGCTGCTGGTGACGCTGGGCCCGCGGTGCCGCGCCGCCCGCAGCAGGAGGAGCGCCCCGAGCCCCCCGCTCACCCCCAGCCCCCTGTGCAAGCCCCGCCGCCTCTACATCAGCTTCAGCGACGTGGGCTGGGAGAACTGGATCATCGCCCCCCAGGGCTACCTGGCCAACTACTGCGGCGGGGAGTGTCCCTTCCCGCTGGCGGCCGAGCTCAACAGCACCAACCACGCCGTGCTGCAGACCATGGTGCACTCGCTGGACCCGCAGGGCACCCCCCAGCCCTGCTGCGTGCCCGTCCGCCTCTCCCCCATCTCCATCCTCTACTACGACAACAGCGACAACGTGGTGCTGCGGCACTACGAGGACATGGTGGTGGACGAGTGCGGCTGCAGGTAGCGGGGTTAGTGCGGGCAGGACGGGCCGAGGGGGGACAGACCCCGCGCTGCCGAATCCCCGCTGCCTCCCGGGCGTTTCGGGTGTTTCGGGAGTTTCGGGGTTCCCCTCTGCGCTGGGCTGGGCTGGCGTTGTTGGCGGTGCTGATTTAGGATTAGTCGGGACGGGGCTGCGGGATTATGACCGAGCCCGGCGCTGGGTCCCCTCCCCGCGGGGGATGCTGGCGCCGGGCTGTGAATCCCGCATTTCCCCCCTTGCGCAGCTTTTTGGGGGGTTTTGGCTGAACTCTGCGGATTTCTCAGGGTATAAATGAGTTTTCTGGGTGAATCGGGGCCGGGGGTTCCCTGGGGTGCGATCCAGGGACAGGGACGGGGTGACCAAATCCCATCAGAGCCGGGCGGGAGCTCCGTGCTGTGCTCTGGGAGCTGTTTTCAGGCTGTGGTTGGTGATGGGGTGGTTTGGGGACAGGGCTTGTGTTGGGTGGCCAAATGCAGTGGGGGTTTTGCCTAAGAAAATGAAGGTTTTCCCTAAAAAAATTGGAGGTTTTACCTAAAAATAATGGAGGTTTTGCCTTAAAAATTGGAGATTTCGCCTAAAAATTTGGGAATTTCACCTAAGAAACCCGCAGGGAGCCTTGTGCCAAGGGCAGGATCCTGCAGGGAATGTGGCTGAGGGAATTCGGGGGGGTTGCTGGGGTCAGTGGCTGTGAGTCAGTATTAATTAATTAATAATCAATTAATTAACCTCATTTGCAAATCGATGAGCCCAGGCTGTCCCTGGTGTCCCGGGGCAGCCGAGCCTCAGGCAGGGGCAGAGCTCCGCACACTTTTGAATTTTTCGGGTTGTTTTGGGTTGATTTGTTGGGTTTTCTGCCGGCTGGCAGCCCCAGGCTCTCTGTGGTGTCACTGAGGGGCAGCAGGGACCCAAATTTGGGGCATTTCCCTCTCCTCTGCCTCTTCCAGCCGAGTGTGTAAAACTGAGTGTGCAAAACCACCAGAGCGACAATTCCCTGCCCCTTTGGGGATTTTGGAGCAACTGAAAAGGAATCCGAGTTAGACTTGAATTTTTTCTCTTTATTTTTGAACTGTGAAGCCATAGTGCAGCTTTGGGGGTTTTTTTTGCTGTTTTCTCTTTGAGCTCTGATGGTTTTCCCACCTCCTCCCCCCAGGGGAAGCACTGAGGGTTTAACCACCTTGGGATGGTGTATTTTTTTTGTTTGTTTGTTTGTTTTAACACCCAAAATGTGGAGCTGAAGAGCCAGCCTGGAGCAGCTTTAGCTGGATTCCCATTCCCAAATCCAGGTGTTTCCCACCCAGCCCTGCCCTGCTCCATTTCAGTGTTTAAAGGGCTTAACTCCAGCCAGCAGGAGCCATTGGATTCTGAATTTAGATGGGCACAGGAGGAAAACCTTCAAGTATTCCTGGGTTTGTGGCCACCTCTCGCTCAAACCCCGGGTGAGTTTGTGCCCAGGGTGGTGCCAAGGCCAGGAACTGCCCCAGCCCCAGCCTGGAGCCCCCAGCCCCGACCTGGCAGGGCAAAGCCATGTTCGTGTTCCCTCCCAGCCCGGGAGCCCTTCCCAGTCCTCCCAGTCCTCCCAGTTCAGTCGCTCACCCCCTCTGCTATGCACACCCCCACTTTTGTACTAGTCTTGTGTTTAAAAAAAGTAATAAACTTGAAGTTTATACAATCAGACTAAAGCTTTAATGAACGTTGCATGGTTTCCTCATTGAAACTTAGGGGCCACCTTGAATGCAAGAGCTGTTTATTCTTTTTTTTTTTTTTTAACTGATGACAAACAGGTTTTAAAACAAAACTCAGACAAAAAAAAAAGCAATTAATTAAAAAAAAAGGTTTAACACCGTGCTAGCACTGATGTCTGGATTTGTAAAACTCAAAAGAGTTTGAACTGCTACAAAGGAAAAAACCAGCACGAAGCAGAGGCAAGCATTCCCAGCAGTGAAATAAAGGGTGAGGGGAGAGGAGGGGGTACATTACTCATGGATAGCTTTGCACAGAGGGGTTCAGCTTAAACCTACCCGAAAAGTCTACGCCACTACGCAGCCTACCAAGGAAAAAAATTAAAAAGCCCTTCGGCAATGTTAATAAATAAAACAAGTCCATCTCACGAGGAAGGAAGGTGGCCTGTGTCTCCATTCTTTCACTGTTTTGAAAAGTCTAAACTCTGGAGGCTTTGGATGAGAAAAGAATGGGCTTTGTGAGTTGAGTTTTTTGTGGTTTTTGCAGTTTCTGCAGCTCCCCCCCGGGGCTGGGGGTGTTCCACACCAGGGCTGCTCTGGGGGCAAATCCAGCAACTCCAGGCAGGGATCTCCAGGAAGGACAGGAATGAAAGGGTTCCCCCCTCCCCGGCTACAAAACGGGGTTGGAGCTGTTTGAAGTACATTCAGATGAGAGGTATTTTGAGTTTTCCCCCCAAAAAGAAAAGGACTAGAAACACTCGGAGCCCTTTGAGTGTAAAGCTTAACTCCAGCCTGAGCAACACCCAGGCCTGGCTCAATCGCTGCTGCTGCTGCTGCCAATTGGGAGGTAGAGGTTATTCTAATTCAGGATCTGCTAAGAACGGGGCTGGAGGAATCGATCCTCTCTGCGCTGTCCCTAAATAAGGTTTTGACAGAAATGAAAAGCTCCCAAGTGTTCCCCTGTGAGTGTTTCAGACATGGCTACAACTCAGAGCGTGGATGGCTTCTCCTCGTGGGCTCTTCCCAGCCCTGATCCCCAGCTGGGCTGGAAACTCTGCTTCAGCAAAGCAAAGCTCCTTCCAACTTCTTCCCCCTGAAAACTTGGCTTCGACACCTCACTCTGTCCCTCTCCTGCCTTCATCGCCCAGGAAGCCACCCCAAAGCCTGACCCATTGTCCCAAATTAAACCCAGCTCTGTCTCTCAGAGGCCACCACCTTCCACCACCTGCCTGCTTTGTCCGTTTGTCCCTCCTGCTCCTGCAGTGGCGTGGAGTCTTTACTTTCCATCCAAAATAATCCCCAATTTCCACTACTCCTGCCCCACACCAGTGGGGACCAAAGCAGGCCTGGCTGCACCTTCCCTCCAGGGCCGAAGGGCACAGGAACCCGTCCCCTTTCAAGCATAAAGTTCATCGTACAGAAAGGCTGTTTTTCACAGAGTAGAGTCCAGACAGTTGCCAATTAAAGCATACAGAAAACACTTTGAAACCCTCCTGCTCGAGCACGCAGGCTCCTCTCACTCTAAACCTATCCCATGTAGGAAGAAGAGGCTGATTGCTGCAACTTGAAATCACACTGAAAGTTCTCAAGGATGGTGCTCTAATTTTTCTTTGAAACATATTTTTTTTTGGTTTTTTTTTAAAGTTTTTTTTGTAATATAAGCTTCTCAGAACAAGGATCTAAATCTCCCAGGTCCACCACTAAGAATTCAGAGACAAAACTTCTTTAAAAATTCAGTGCTCTTTTTGAAAGAATCTCTTTAAAACCACCTCGTTCAGAATGTGGGCGACACGATGACAACAAATTTCAGAGCCAGTGTTGGACAACAAAACCTGCACCTCAGAGTTGAGCAGCAGCTGGATTTCTGCTTGGCTGGCTGTCACCCAGGCAGGGACTTTCTCTCTTTTTTTTCCCCCCCCTCCTCTCTCAGATACTCTGCTTCTAAAATGTAAACAGTTCCTGCTAAAATGCTTTTAGTACCCCTGGCAAAAGGAGCCCAACTCTGAGATGAGGGTTTTCCTCTCCCCATCTGCTCTGAAAGGTAATGCCCTGCTCGCCAAGAGAAGTATGGAATGAAGTGAAACCTGCTTTGTTAAGGCCCTTCTCCGGAGCTGGGCTGACGGGGGAGCAGGGACTCAGCTGAGCTCTCCTGCTGGGTGAGTTCCTTCCCACGAGGCGCCAGCCAGTCCTCCAGGGCTCTGTCTCCTCTCCTTGTCAGTCTCCTTGTCTCAGTGAGCTCCAGCAGTGGCTCTCTCGCGCGCTCCTCTCTCTCTCTCCTCTCTCCGTTGGTTGGTTTCTTTCTCCTGTTGCTCTCACACAGTGGTGCTTCAGTTTTAGCAGTGGAAAACAGGTATCCATTTTATTTTATTTTTTTTATTACCCAGAATAAAATGCTGATGAACTAAGCTCCACACAAGCTTAGCTCTTCTTCCTCAACCTGGAAGAGGAATGAGAGTGGAGTTAGGGGTGGCCCTGCTCAGGGAGGGGACAGCTCAAATCAGGAGGGACAGCTCAAATCAGGGAGGGACAGCTTAAATCAGGGAGGGACAGCTCAAATCAGGGGAGGGGACAGCTCAAATCAGGAGGGACAGCTCAAATCAGGGAGGGACAGCCCAAATCAGGGAGGGACAGCTTAAATCGGGGAGGGACAGCTAAACTGGGGAGGGGACAACTTAAATTAGGGAGGGAACATCTTAAATCAGGCAGGGGACAGCTTAAATGAAGGAGGGGACAGTTTAGATCAGGTGAGGGGACAGTTTAGATCAGAGTAAAGGGACGGTTTAAATCAGAGTAAAGGGACAGCTCAGCTCAGGGAGGGGACAGGGGGCCTTACACTCTAATACTGTGACAGTCCCGTCACTCCACCATGTTGATATGCTCGTTCCCCCTGGTAAGTTGAGTCCTGTGACAGCGCCACGTCAATCTGGGATTTAAACTCATCACCAAGGTAACTGTCCTGCAGGGGGAAAGGGGAGAGAAGCCTCAAAATCGCTGTCCAGCTCAAGTGCAAGGCAGAACCAGGTTAATGATACAGCTGAGAGGGTTTGGTTTTTTAAAAATCTGCTTTTTTGGTGCAGAATTTCCCTATATTAAGGGGTTTTGAGCTGTTTATCAGCTGAAGGAATATTTCACTTTCCTGCCCCCAACAGTACAGGGTGTAAACCTGCAGCTGAGTCACTGAGAGCAGTTTCAGTTTCGTTTCCCTCAGGAGGGAAGGAGGTGCAGGCACGGCTCAGCACCGCCAGTCCCAGGAAAAGCCGTGCTACCCCCAAATCCGCGCTCACCTGGGATAATTCCGGCTGGGAGAGCCCAGGCTGACTCATCTGTGAGGGCTGGCTCATGGAGATGTAGCCCTGGGTCAGGGGGCCCTGGGAGAAGGGCTGGGACACCACGTCCTGGCTGGCCTGGCTGTTGGGGAGGTTGGACTGGCTGGTGCCAGGAATCCCAAAGCGGTTTTTCTGCCGCCCGCCACGGCCCGTCTTCCCCTTGGGAGCCCCACGGCCTGGAAAAGAGTTCACCCAGCCAGCAGTGAGCGCTGCACAGGTATGTGAGAAATGCAGATTTTATGGTTGGCTTTTCGCAAATACTACAGTGAATATTATATGTGTGATGTTAGAAAGTTATGCTGCGTTAATTCTCTTACGTAGTGTGTTAAATGTGGTTTTAGGTTACAACATAATGTTAAAATAGAGACTGTGTATGTGGGGGAAGTTTTTTTTTAGGAATGAGATACTCGCTTTGAGGAACACCTATATCTTCCAAAGGAGAGGAATTTATGGTTTTCTTATCAGAAAAAGCTAATTTCTTCAGGCCTTGCTCAGACTCAAAGATGCCAGGGGATCAAAGGAAACAGCTGACATACAACAGACAGAGTTTCTTGTTTAGAATAAAATGCATGCATAACCATGAAGGATGTATGAATATGCAACAAGTGTATTGGTTTAAGGGTGATCCTTTGTTCACAAGGGATGCTTTTCATGACTTAGTGCCCAAGAGCATCCAGACATCTGTAATTCTTTGCCATTTATTGTCTTGTAATTGTCCTAACTCTAAACTTTATTACTCTAATTGTGTTACTATTTTTATAACCATTTTATTATTATTAAATTTTTAAAAACCAAGCGATTGGCGCTTTTTCACAGGAACCAACACACTTTTTAGGGACTCTGACCCCTCCCAGAAGGCTCCCGGGCGTTCCTGCCCCTTTACCTGCAGCGGGGCCGTTGGCCTGGCCGAAGTAGCCCGGGGGTGGCATCGGGGGCATGACGAGGTTGAAGGGGATGGGAATGTTCATGGCAGTGACGTGGCTGGGGCCAGCACTGATCATCCCAATCTGGTCGTGGGTCTGGAAGTACATGTTGGATGGACGCCCTGGGAGAGGGGAAAGCACAGGCACTGCAGGAATTCTGCATTTTTCAGGATCAATCCCTTGCCCTGGAGCAGGATGGACAAGGATGAGCTCCCCCTGCCAAGAGCCAGCAGCGTTTCTGCCTGGCTGCTCATTCCTGGGAATTCCATAAATCCACCTAACACACTCTCCTCATCCCCACAGCACCACCTGAGATTCCTGAAATGCTTCTCACACTCCTTTTCCCCTCATTTTGCACTTGCTCTGCACACCTCAGGTTGGGAGTCTATTTACAGAGAGCAAAATCCAGGCTCGAGACTTTCAGCCCTCAAATTCATCCCAAATATTTTCAGTGGTTAAATTAAAACCCAAGCATTTCAGCCTCAAATTCATCCTGAGCATTTTCAGTGCTTAAATTCATCCAAAGCATTTTCAGTCCTCAAATTGCACCAAAATTCCAGCTCTCAAATTCCATTTCTGTAGTTTGAAGTTTAAATCTTTAACAAATTCAAAGTTTTCACAAGTTGAAAAGCTTTTAAGAAGTTTCAAAGTTTGAAGTGTGTAAGACGCGACCCCTCAGGGGCTGGTTAGGAGAAAAAGCAAGCCCTGAAAGTGAATTTTGGGCATTTCCTTTACCTTGGCTGCTG